TTTTAGGATAGGAAAACCGGAGGACCAGATGAGATGCCATCTTGCGGCAGGAAACTGACTGCTTCAAAGTGTTTTACAAACTTTGGATTCCCATCATAAAGTCCGCCAGTGGTTCCAAGAACGAGGAGATTCAGCAGAAGAGAAGAAGCCAAGGAGAGCAGCAGATCCACTGTCCCCTGTGGGATTCTAGATCCCTCCAACCAGGTGAGACACCCTCCCCCTCCCAGAAGCACCAAGTTGGTGGCTGAGTGGAACTTGGTGAGGGTTTCTCTGGTGCAAAGCAGGTGAAGGAGCTGCTTCCTTTGAGACATGGGCAAGTGGTCCATGCTTTTGGGGGGACATTCATGGGTGGGTGGGAGATTCTAAGGTTAGGGAAGATGGGGGAGGGTAACAGACAACAGATAATCAGAGTTGGAAGGGACCTTATAGGTCATCTAGTCCAACCCCCCTCCCAAGCGGCAGACCCTACATCATTTCTGACAAATGGCAGTCCAATCTCTTCTTGAAGGTCTCAAGTGATGAAACTCCCACAACTTCCGAGGGCAAGGTGTTCCATTGATTGATTGTTCCCACTGTCAGAAAGTTTCTCCTTATTTCCAGGTTGAATCTCTCCTTGTTCAGTTTCCATCCATTATTCCTTGTCTAGCCTTCAGGTGCTTTAGAAAATAGTTTGTCCCCCTCCTCCTCTCTGGGGCAGCCCCTCAAATATTGGAAGACTGGTCTCCTGTCTCCCCTGGTCCTTCTCTTCCCTAGACTAGCCAGGCTCAGTTCCTGTAACCGTTCTTCATATATTTTAGCCTCCTGTCCCCTCATCATCCTGGTTGCTCTTCTCTGTACTTTTTCTACAGCCTCAACATCTTTTTTTATAGTGTGGTGACCAAAACTGGATGCAGGACTGTAGGTGTGGTCTTACTAAGGCTTTATAGAGTGGTATTAGTGCCTCACTTGATGCTGATTGTATCCCTCTTTTAATGCAATTTAGGATTGCATTGGCTTTTTTGGCTGCTGCTGCACACTGCTGGCTCATATTTAGCTGGTTGTCCACTAAGACTCCAAGATCCCTCTCACAGTTACTGCTATCGAGCCTGGTTTCACCCAGTCTATATGTGTCCTTTGGGTTTTTCTTGCCTAAGTGTAGGACTTTACTTTTCTCTACACTGAAGAGGGAGGAAAGAGCTTTGTAGGATCCCATCTTCTTTGTTAGGAAAGGCAACTGGAGTTGAAAGAGGGAGAGAGAGCAGGGAGTGTGGCATGGAAGCAGCTATGTTGGGGTGGGGCAGGGGTGGGATTATACGGGTTCAACCCGGTTGGAGCAAACCGGTAGCTCTGAAGATCAAGGTATTTCCTTTCATCCCATCAGCTGTTTTCCAAAGAACAGCTGTGCTGCATGGTTTAGATTAGCTAGAAAGCAGGGAATGGTCAGATTTCTTGCTTTCTAGCTAATCTAAATTGCGTGGCATAGCTGATCCCCCCTCTCCCTGTTCTACTGCTTCACCAAGGTGGCTTCCCTGAGGCCCAGGAGGCAAAAAATGGGGTGTGGGGGGTGCTGTGTGCCCCCCTGCCCCATTTTTGCTTCCAGGAGGCTTCCCTGACACCCAGCAGGCAAAAAGAAAGATACCATGCCCATTCAGTCACATTACCAAGCCACACCCACCTGGCCACGCCCATGGATTTGGTAGTTAACAAATTTGCATCCCACAGGGGTGGGGGTGGGTGATATTCCAGGAATTTTGGGGAGGGGCGTTGTTCCTTTTGGAAAGGCTGCTGAGTTCTCTCCTGGCAGCCAAACAAGGGGAGAGGTGGAAACTTCAGTTCCCTCAATCCCATCTTACTCCCCACCCCCAAAATACCTTCTTTTCCACTGAGATTCTGAATTTTGGTCCTCCCAGAAGGATCAAACTTTGCCCTGTGTGTGTGTGTGTGTGTGTGTGTGGAGGGGGAGGGAGAATGGCAGAGGGTTGATGCCTGGAAATGAAATCAGTGGTGGGATTCATATTTTTTTACTACTGGCTTTGTGGGCATGGCTTGGTGGGCGTGGCAGGGGAAGGATCCCGCAAAATCCCCATTCCCTCCTCACCCCACTGACCTGCTTTCCAGCTGTTCTACTGTGCAGGGCAACCAAAGAAGACCCAGCCAATCAGCTGTGGGCGTGGTTTGGTGGGTGTGGCATTCTGTGGGTGTGGCTTGGTGGGCGTGGCAGGGGAAGAATACTGCAAAATCCCCATTCCCTCCCCACCCCAGTGACCTGCTTTCCAGCTCTGTTCTCCTGTGCAGGGCGTCATGTTGTCATCACGTGATGTATCGCAACTTTTCCCCTTCGCTAAAACGGGGGAGCGTGTGATGCATCCAATCCATGGGCCCCGAGTTTGACACCCCTGTTCTATGGCAGATCTTGAGTGGACTCAAGGGGTGCGATGCTCACCAGGAACTTGCTACTCTGCCTCCTCCAGATGGTTCTTCTCTCTCTTGCAGGGCGCCAGAAGCAAAAACCACACACAGGAGCCGAGCATGGCCCAGGCAGACGACACCATTGAGACCCCAGCTCTAGGCCGCCCCTTCCAGGTGGGCATGTTGTACGACTGCCGCAAGGATGCCCTCATCCCAGGTAGGAGCCGGAGGAGAGGCCAATGGACCTGACCCGATCCCTGGAGGGAGAAGGGCAGTGGTGGGATTCAAATAAGTGAACAACCGGTTCTCTGCCCTAATGACCGGCTGGGTGGGCATGTGACTGGGTGGCCGTCGCCAACTCGACGTCACTCATGTTGAGGGGCGCTTCACCTCGCCTAGCCTCTTGTGACTGTGGGGATGCAGCAACGGTCGTAAGTGTGAAAAATGGTCATGTCACTTTTTTCAGTGCCATCGTAACTTTGGTCACTAAATGAACTGTTGTAAGTCAAGGATGACCTGTACAAAAGTACAAAAAGCTTCTTTGCTTGCAAAAAGCTGCCCTAAATACCAATCATTAGATTAGCAAGACCTGCAAGCTGGAGTTACAAATCAGGCAAGGTGCCAGAGCACCTTGAGGAATGAAAATAGTGAAAATGCAGTGATAACTATCAAGCAGCCAACTCTTGCCCATAAAGTGAAATCCTTCAGCGGAGAGGTCATTTAAGGTCTCCAGAAAGTGGTGGGCATACTTGGGCTACAAAATGCCGAGCTAAAGAGACGAATTAACAAAGTATCTAGGGGAACCAGGTTCAAGTCTCTGTCCTCCCAAGCTTGCCAGGATCACAATAAAATCAGTACATGCCACAGATATCGAAATAAACTTCAAGCCTGTGTTGGAAGAAATAATCTGTCTGGTTCAGTTCTCAAGCTGGGAGGAAGACCCTGGAAACATGAAGGCTGATTGGAAAGATGGTTGAATGATGAACCAGAACCACAGGGGTTCTGGTGCAGCTGACCACATGGAGTTGAGAGTGAGGGGTTTTTACACTTTCTCTTGGGCTTTGAACTTGAGCTTCCTGTTCCTGTGCAATAACATGTATTCTATTGCCTGTTGTCAGACTCCCCTGGGGCCTCTGTAGGTTGTCTGAGGAGTGTGATTAAAGTTGGGACTCTCTGAGATGATGTAATGAAGAGGCTTGTGTCCTTGAAAGGGTGTTGGGCAATTCCTACTGTATCTTAATGTCTTTCCTCCTGCTTTGGATCTTGAGTGAGGGCTAATCCCACTCTCTGCCTTTGTCCAGACCTCGCTGAAGGGAATTTTTGCCTATGAACAGAGTTATCTATCTCTTTATCTCTTAAGTGCTGGCATCCACTGGGGGCTATTAAGGAAGGTGGGTGCTGCTTTCTCCCTCTAAGAAAACACGTTTCTCCATTTCTCATCCTTTTTAATATTTCTCAAAATAGTTTATTCTTCCAGGAGAGGGGTGAATGCTAACTTTCTACAATTGGTGCCATGTTACTAAGCCTTATTATCAGGAGAGAAAACTAAAATGAATTGGAAGGAGGATCCATTTACTATTGGAGAGCAACCAAGTGCCTTGGCCACTCCGAAGCAATGCAAGAGACTCCTGTCCCAAAGGTGCTTTTTCAAGAGGCAACTGGACTTTCTGGAAAGCAAGAACGTCCAGTTGCCTCTTGAAAAAAGCACCTTTGGGACAGCCATGACCTGGATGATTGAAGAATCTCTATAGATAAGAGACTCCTGTGCTCAGTGAACTGACAAAACACCCTTTCCCACCCAGGAGAAGCAATCCTTAGATCCATTTGCACTGCTTAAAGATACCAGCTGGTCTCACTCACCTCACAAGATATCCTAAGGAAATCATCCAGATTTAAGGGAAGGTCACATGCCCCCAGAAAGGCAGTAAAAAAAAACATCAGTCAGAAGACCAAGCTTGCCTCTCAGCCATTTCTTCTATGGCTATGCCAACCCATATGTAAATAGCTCTTAATCCAACCAGTCCCTCCTCCCAAGCCCCGGAGTAAAAGTACAAGCAAAGGGGGAAAAAAAACTCCAGAGAAGCCGCTCAGGCTATAGAAAGTCTGGGCATACTGCCAAGAACCATTAACGGATGTTACAATGTGACAAGGCTTAACCCAGAGGCAGTTTCGGAAAACGCGTAAGCAGGACAATAATAAAGATAAGGATTAGGCTAGAAACAACAAATGGAGGCACACCAGAAGGCCTCCTTCCTGCCAGGAGTAACCCTGTAAGGTAGGAAAAAGAAAAGGCTGTTGGGAGGCCAAGGAGTGGGTAGGCAGGGGAGGGCTGGAGGAAGACAATCTGGGGTGGCCCTTGGAGACAATCTGGAGCTGCAGTAGGAGCAGCTAAAGCCCCAGAGAACAGGGTCTCTTTGAGCACGGAGCCCGCTGTGGGGAGCTGCCAGCCACTTTGGACATCAACCCCCACCGTTGCTGGATCAGAGGGGTCAGCCTCAAGGGCAATGAGGAGGGGATGGCCCGTCTTTACTCCACCCCCTCCAATTCCTTCCTGTGTCTTCTGAGGGAAAGGAGCTATCGGCAACCTCCCAGCAAGGCAGCCTCTCCTTTGGCTGACTCTGTTTTGCTTTTCATGCAGAAATGCCAGGTTTTGTGCTGTGAGACGTGTCTGGAAATGGCTGGAAGCATCCGAGGTAAAGTCTTGGCCCCTGGGGGTGGGTGGGTGGGGATGGAAGTTACTCTCCTGGGTGGAGGGACAGGCTACGATGGCCGTATGCTGCTGACCAGGCCCCTTTTTCTCTCCTCTCCCCTTTGGGTTGCAGGGCCTGAACGGAGGATCGTCCTGGTGGGCGGAACCAGAAATGGGAAAAGTGTGACGGGAGACACAATCCTGGGAAGGAAAGTCTTTCAGCTTCAGAAGCCATTTTGGTCAGTAACAGAAGCATGCCAAAAGGAGGAGGCGCAGCTGAAGGGCAGGAAGGTTGTGGTAGTTGATATGCCTGGCTTTTTCCATTACTATCATCCAGACAAGGCTACTGCTGCAGAAGTGAGAAGGTGTGTCAAGTTTTGTTCCCTGGGTCCCCATGTCATTCTGCACGTGATGGATCCTTCTGGTTCCTTCCAGGAGATGTACGTGGCTCAGCAGATTGAAGAGAATTTTGGCCTTAAAGCCAAGGATTACATGATCATATTGTTCCCCTTCAAAGATAGCCTGGAAGGTCAATCTATAGAAAATTTTATATCTTCCCGAAATAAAAAAGCAAAGAAATATATTGCTGAACGTGGGAACCGGTGCCTGGCTTTCAACAAGGCCGAAGGAGAGGAACGAGAGGCTCAGGTGGCCGAACTGATGGCCATGATTGATGCTGTGGTGGAAATGAACAGATGTGCTCCTTGTTACACAGAAGACATGAACGTCAAGAAAAGATACAACTTCTGATTGTTTCCCTTTCCATCACAGACCGGCAAGTCTCCCAAATTCAGCCTCTTCTGCTCCCAAAGTGGCAACTCGGCCAAAGGCCACTCTCAAGCTTCCAAAGGCATTTTTGCCATTGCAACTATTATCGCTTCTCCGCTTGCCAACGAATTATGTGGGGGAGGGAAGGGGGAGACAGAACTTGAGTTTCAGACATCAAGATGCCAGCTGTGAGAACCAAGGACACTTCAGCAGGTGTTTCCCAGACTATCTCACAACAATAGCAGGAGACTCCATTGGACAACGGGACCTGGTCCAATAGGTGGAGGGAGAACCTGAATTCCAACTATGTGGCTCTGGGTGGGAATTAGCTAGATCTGGTTTTGCCCTCATCTTTGCCGATACGATGTACTCAATAAAGTTTTGTGCTAAGAGATGAGATCGTCTCAACCGTGTTTGCTTTGCTTGGTCAGTCGGAACATTGAGCCCTTTTGTTCTGTGTTCCAGTCCAGCCCTTGCCATGTGACCTCTGAAGAATCCCAGTCAGAGATCCATGACCAAGTCTCCCTGAGCCAATCCCTTCTCTTAGAGAACCTGGTTTCTCCCCTCAGATGATGAGACTTCAAGCGAATGTGAAAATCCAGCCCCTCCCTAGTATCAACCGGCCCTATAGGCTAATTCTCTCCCATCCTGGACCCATGTCCCTTCGGAAGCACACTCTTGGGAGTTTTCCCATCTGTCAATCCTTTGAGGTACATCAGGCTGGGAATCCAGCAACACAAGAAATATTAGAAGTTGAGTTTCCTGATACGGATTATAGTAGCAGAATCTTGAAAGCGTCTCCCTTTCGCTCCCTCTGGCACCAAAGAGCATCAAGGCAGGACAAGCCTGAGGTTCTTTCTTACCCCTTCTCATTTTCCTGGGGTGAATCTGTGTTTTCCTAACAGCTGCCACTTATTATTTGTAAGGCTGGTTTTGTTCTGCTCAACACCACTTTCCGTTGTCCAATGTGGACTCATTGGAAAGAGCAAATTTCTCTTTCAGCCAAAGGACCTCTCGTTAAATCTCATCCTTTCTTACAAAAGAGGCTGTCTTTTGGTATGGTTGAGGGAAACTGGCGAGTTTGGTCCACTCGGCTGAATTGATTCCAGACAATGATGCACTCACAAGGCAGAAGAGAAGGGGGGACATTGCCCTGACTTCCTGGAGGAGAGGGACATGGAAGGAGTAGAATATACTCGAGGGGCGAGTCGGAGTGCAGGATCTCCCCGAAACCTTTTCACACTGGGTCGTTCTTGGTGAAAATCAGGCTCCTGCTGGCTCCTTCCCATCTCCTTAGTGTCCCTCAGCTCCATACCACATGCTTCTTCTCCAGCTTCCCCTTTGGGGTCAGCTGTCCCGCAGACACGCCTGAAAATCAGTGCTACTTTTTTTGAACAATTTTTAAAAATTTTAAACAACAAACATAAACAAATACTAAACATACAATATTGAATAAAATCTTTCCATTATACAGTCTGTCGGTTGGTACACATCTCTTCTGCACATCAACAGTCATTCCACCCTATTTTTAAGTTACAATTCATATCATATATAACTACAACCCATTTAATGTATTATTATCAAATCATTATCAGACTGTTATTACCAATTTATCTCAATTTTTTCAAGCAGAATTCAACTATTATAAAACCTAATTTGTATCATTCATTTCCATTTAATCAAGCATAAGATATCATAATAATTGCTTACAACATATCTTTGTATTATTTTATCATAACTGTTATATTTCTATTGTACTGTATTTCCCTATTTTCTTATCTAACCATGAATAAAATAGATCCCATATTTTATAATATTCTTTTTCTTCTTGCTCTCTAATGGCAAATGTCAATCTACTCATTTCTGCACCTTCCATTGTTTTCTTTATCACTTCCTCCTCTATTGGAGTTTTTTCATTTTTCCAGTTTTGCGCAAACACTATTCTAGCTGCTGTCATAATATTAACAAACAAATATGTCAATTCTTTACTGTAGCCTTCAGGAAAGATACCCAATAAAAATATCTCTGGTTTCAAGTCTGAGAGAGATGTAACTAATTGCAGGCATGTGTTATTAGTTTTACAACACCAGTGAAAGGTTAAAGAAATATTTTCTATAACAGCAAGATAAGAAATGCCTATAGAGATAAATACTTCTACATATATAAGAAAACAACCGCCTAACATCAAGATAAGACATGCCTATAGAGTAACTCTCTACTTAATGCTATATTTTATTTCTTTCCTTTATTTATTACCCTAACATTCCCCCGTTTTGTTTGAAGGATAGATTACTTTCTATCCTGATGAATGAGGAAAAATAAAGGCATTGATAAGAGGCAACAGAAAAAGATTCCTTCAATGGCTCCCAAAAGCTTTCAACCATGAAGGTCTAGCAGTCAGGGAAAAAAAATTCTGGAATGAAATTTACAGTATCCAATTTACAGTATCCAATTTTCCATGCCAATTATTTTCAGATGTTTATATCACTGTCTATGAGTTTCCAAACAGGCGTTACGCAAGCACAAACCACAAAAAATTCTTCACAGCCATGGTTCTTGAAATTACAGGCTGCCCATTTTCAAGGGATCATTACTGTACCTGTCCTAACTCTTAGTCATTGTGCAATCCAGGCTATTTAGTATTGATTTATTTATTTTTACACACAGTGAGCCCTCAGACTTCTACTCATGAGGCCATCAGTGCAACATCTGGGCAACTGCAGCATCATTTGTGAGTTATAGTCAGGGCTTTGGGTTTGGAGATCTCTTTTCTGCTGTCTCTTCAAGTGAGGGAATTGCCTGAGGGGGATGCCTCTCCCCCATGGAGACATGACTTCTTGTGCCTTAGTGGCACAGAGCAAAAATCAATCTAGGAGCAGCTTTGCGTGGAGGTACTAGGAGAAACTTTGGCTTATTCTTAATGGTGTGTGTCTCTCTCTATATGTGTGTATGTGTATGCAGCTACTTTTCAATACAAACATGCTGGACAAATTTCCCACCCATCACACAGAAGTGTTCAACACCAAGGTGTTCAAAAGTTGCTGTGGCAACCACTCTCAAATACACAATCCTTACATGAATACATTAAACTGGTTACAATATAAATGAGACAACGAAGAAAACATTACAATGAATTTCCACCCTCCCCCCATAATCTTTCCAGCTGTCTTTTGGGAATTGAAAAAGAATCTTTTACTGGTCCATCAGTTTCACTTGGGATCTTCAGCTGGAATAACATAAGCTGACACTCAGGCAGGAAAAATCAAGAAGTTTGTACTCCTGCAATGAGAAAAATCACAAACAAAGTCTATTCATACCACCATGACCACATCAGCTTTTGGTAATTTTTATTCTCAGCCTGTCTTCTCCGGGAAACACTTTCCACTCTTTTAAGTTCATCAACTGGGGTCCACCCTTTGTCTTTTGTCTTTTGGTCAACTGCTGTTTCAGTGGTCAGCAAGATTTGGTAGGACCTGTCCAGGCTTTTATCAGGACCCAATCACCAGGCTGGAACTTATGGACAGCAAATTTGAGAGTAGGGTTTGAGCTAGAAGTCCTTTGCTTCTGAAGTGAGATAAAGAAGAGTAGAGGCCAAGTATACAGTTCTTTACAGACATATCTTTAGTTTCACACTGTGTGATTTCCCCCATTCTGTTCAAGTGTAGTAGTCCAAACATCATTTCAGAAGGTAAAGTATCCCTATTTGGACAGGTTCAAATTCAGAGCCAGGCCAAGGGTAAATAAACTGTTGGTCCATGGCATAGATGAATTTGCATTCCACAGAACGTGACATTCCCATCAAATTCCCATACTCCATGATTGACTGAAGCATTTTTGCAGAAAAATGAGCTGCTGTCTATAGCTCCTACTATCTAGGTATTATCTACTCCAGTATAATTTTGGCTCTCATGGCTGGATAAGCCTCAACCCATCCAGTCAAGTGATCCACTATCTTAAAATAATAATTAAATCTTCCCACTTTTAGCCATTCCCCCAAGGAAATATAATTTCAATCAAGTCTAACCCTGGGCTATAAATACCCCAACACAATGTTCAAAATCCAAACCTCCCTATAAATATCTTTTATCCTTGACAGGTAGGGTCTAGTATTTTAGAGAAAAATGCCACTTCTGTGTTGAAAAACCCTCAAAAGCCATTCCATAATCTGTGTAACACTAGGCTCTTCTAGTAGTTTAGCATACAAGTCTTCATTCAAAATAAGTGTACTTATCCATCCATTCACAGCTTACAATGTCCAGCCAATACTCATACCTGTAACAACTCCTAAAAAGGGCAACAACTTGTGTTGCTGTCAAACAAACAAACATGCCATAGGATGGAGCACCGTGATTCCTAAGTATGTAAAATCAGTGTGTCAGACTCAGATTCCATTCACATGGAAGCAAATTCTCATTAAGTCAAAAACATTTACAAAGGTAAGCAAAATATTTCAAAATCATTTTTAGATAGGTTTAATTAAGCATTTTTAAACCTCAAAAATTTTCAGAAGAAAGAAAAAAAATCAAAATTGTATTTAGAAAAGAAGAACATACTTGCATAGCATTCAATATGCAAGCCAAAAATAGTGTAGACTGCAAAAGGCAGGGATCAGATGTCACTCTTTTAAGAAGATATTGGGTAACAATTTGTCAAAAAGGATATAGGTTTCCTGCCTAAGCAGGGGGTTGGACTAGAAGACCTCCAAGGTGCCTTCCAGCTCTGTTATTCTAAAACTTCTAAAAACCTTTACCCCGCCTTTCTCAGGCTGGCTCTGCAGAGAGGGAGGAGGGGGTAGTTAAAAATGAGAAGGGTGGGTAGTTCCCCCTTGTTGAAAGGCTGGAAAATGCCTTTCTTCTAAGGATTCGGTTTTCCTGCTGGGAGTGCTCCAGTGCAAGGACACAGACAACTGCTTGGAAGCTGGTTTATTCTTCAGGAAGGCAAGAGATAGCAAGAAGTCTGCGTTCCTGGGGCTAGCCCTCTTTGTATAATAAACTCCTGATTTTTATACCTTTTCTCCTTTTGTGTGTGAGTGCTTGTGTTTGTATTTCTTAATGTTTTAAATCCTGTCAGGGGGTTGTCTTCATTTCCGCCAGAGGGTAAACTCTGCGGGGTGGTTTGATTGGATTATCAGTTTCATCCTAATGTTTTCTTATATTTGTTTGGTGGCAATCTCCTGTCTGCTCGTGTCTTTTGTCTATTTGTTTTGCTGATTTGGCATGACCTTTCGTTTGTAAGGGATTTCTTTTTCTTGTTTCCCTAGCTTTCTTAATTACTTGGCTTTTGTCTAGGGGGCTTCTTTCAATACCTTTTATTAAATCTCTTTTCCTATGCAAGTTTGTTTTATGACTGGCCTGATGTTCCCTTTGGGCTTTTCCTGCTTGGGTGTCACCACTGTCCTCATGAAGTTCCCTT